AAAGGAGGAACATGGGGGTAAGGTGAATCTGGAGGAGAGGGAAACACCTGAGAAAGGACAGCTCCTACTGCAAAATCTGACGCATCGGTGGTGACGATAAAGGGACGATCARAATCGGGAAGGCGAAGAACCGGCGCGCAAGTCACCACCTTCTTGAGGGCGCGGAAGGCGTCCTCGCAGAGGGGTGCCCAAAACCACGGCGGGTTCTTCCGGAGAAGGGTGGAGGTAAGGACGTAGGAATACCTAGCGTACCCCTAGATAAACTTACTATAGTAGCTGGTGAGGCCTAGAAAGCTGCGAAGCTGCTTGGCAGATGTGGGGACGAGCCACTCTGCAATAGCAGTGATCTTCGCGTCGTCCATGTGGAGACCCTGGTCAGACACATGGTGTCCTAGGAAGTCCACTTTGCGCTGGGCAAAGCGGCACTTACTGAGCTTGGCATAGAAGCCATGCTTGCGTAAGCGCTGTAGGACATCGCGGAGGTGTCTGATATGGTCTTCTAAGGTACGACTGTAGACCAGGATGTCGTCCAGGTATACGAGAACGTATTCTTCAAGGATGTCCCTGAAGATGTCGTTCATCGCCGTCTGGAAGGTGGCAGGTGCATTGGTGAGGCCGAATGACATCACCGTGAACTCGTAGTGGCCGAAGCGCAACCAAAAGGCGGTCTTCGGCTGGTCCTCTGCGGCAACGCGGATCTGGTGGTAACCGCTACGAAGATCGATCTTCGTGAAGAAGCGGTTGCCTGCCAGACGGTCAAACAGTTCATCCGCACGGGGCATGGGATAACTGTTCTTAACCGTGTAACGGTTAAGGTCACGATAATCGATGCAGAGGCGGAGAGTTCCGTCCGCTTTGCGAGCAAAGAGGACAGGTGCACCCCAAGGGGAGTTACTAGGTTTAATGAAACCAAGTCGAAGGAGCTCCTCAAGCTGACGCTTGAGTTCCTTTGCCTCTGGAATCGAGAGTCGGTATGGTGCCTGATGGTGAACACGATAGTCAGGCACGAGCTGGATGGAATGCTCGACACCGCGCATCGGGGGAATCCCGCTGTATGAGAAATACGGGGGGAAGACGTCGCGGTACTCCCGAATCAGGTCGCGGATGACGGGCTCTAAGTCAGCCGTGAACTGCATGAGTTCCTCAACGTCTGCGTCGGCACGAGACGTATAGGTGGACTCGGCAGTAGACAGCGTAGGAACCTGGGATGTCGAGGGGGTATCCGCAGGCTGCGGGGTGGATGTAGAGATGGGAGCCGCGAAGATGGAGGAAGGGTCTGGGGGATCGGGCTCCAGTGAGATGAGCTCAACCTCGGGACAGAGTGGATCGTAGAGAAGAAGATCCATGACGTTCACTGAGTAGAGCGTGACGTCCTCCTGTCGGATGAAGTGAGCAAACTGACGGGGAGAAGTGAAGGAGATGTCTGGGTGGGACCCAGAAGGACGAGGGTCCTGGGGAGGTAGGTTTGGAGGGGTGTCGCCCGTGGTTCCAATGAAGGG